CCGAGCGCCGAGCGCTGAGCGCCGCGGTCGCGCGCGTCCCCACCTCACAAGGGCCTGTGACCTCACCCGGCCCCGGGGCCGGTGGCCGCTTTCCCGCCTCGCGGAGCCAGGGCCCCTGCCAGCTTCCCCGCGCCCTGCTCTTCCGGGCTCTGGCCACGCCCTGGTGCCTGTGTCTCCCTGGTCTGACCTGGTCCATCCTTTGGCTACCTTCTTCCCTTCAGTTAAAACATCCTGTCCTTCTTGGACTACAGCTCGAAGCCCTTTGTCCCACTACTTTACTTTTGCTGGCCGTCCCCCTGCCTTCCCGGGGACCCACGCTGACTTACAGCAAGGAAGCCTTGCGCCCTGCCTGCCATGGCATTCATTGGGCATCGCGGGCGCTCCTCTCACGGTCCTCGAGGTGGCCATGGCACACTGACCCGCCAGAGACCCAGACCAAGGACTTATTCTGAGTAGCTGTGCACCCAACTAAAAATCAAGAATCTGATACTATGTGAGAAAGGAAAAGATTCTGGCACAATTCATGATCTGTCACAAAGTGTGGTCATCAGAATCAGGAAAAGCAAATCATATTGTTATTTTTCTTAAAAATACTTCCATTGGCCACTAAATAATCTTTAGGCAATCATCACTGACCTCTCCGAAGAATCGTGCCAAATTGTGTATGAATCATGGGGCAACCCAACTAACAGATCAGGAAGTGAGTTGTGAAATTTTCTCTTGATAAGTTCTTTTCAGGGACACTGCTAAAGAATAATTTGTGATGGAGGTTTGGCCAAAAATTTCTCAAATTCCCTAAATGTTTCTCTCTAGATATTTACAACCTGTGTACATTGGTCTACTGTCAGAAAGTGCACATGTGGTTAAAAATGTTTCTTCTATGCACTAGTACTTCAGTTGGACTTTAGCAGCTGCAAAGAGTATAATCAAATTCCTGACCAATGCTTTCCTTTCACATACAAACCATTCCTGAGAACCACATGAAGTGGTTTTATTTAACTGTATGGTGAGCCCCAATCACATGCATTTAAGACCACTTCTGTGTGTGGTCTAGTCAAACTAAAATTAGGGATGTTTCCAGAAATTCATATTTTTGCATATATATGTTCCAAAAACATATAGAAGTTGTTTCCGAAAGTATTTAGTGACTTCAAGTATATCTAATTGTTCCCTTACATCATTATAAAACATAAAAATGAATGTGCTGTAATTTCAAGTTGATCTACTTATAATGGGCCCAGTGGGCTCTAGCTATTATTATAGAGGTCAGGCTTCAGAAGACAACAGTTAAAGGGTTACAAGTATGGTTTGACATATAGCTTTCACTTCATTTTCACATAAGTCCTCCATTTCATTTAGTCATCAGTCATCATACTGTAAATAAAACAAACATTCACCATAAAAGGTCTGTCTGTGTTCACATAATCTTTTTATGATGTCATGCATTGTATTGTGTTTAAAAAATGCACATTATGTAAGGAATGTAGGTCTCAAAGGCAGAGATTATGTGATGAGTGCTCTGTAACATACTTCAGTCCCACACTGTTGGGTGTTCAATAAAATTTAAATAATAAAAAAATGAAATTCTAAAGTTTTATTTCTGTACCCTCTGGAAAATTAATTAACAATTAATGCTGTAAGAGTATTTTCTAGCTTCAGCTTGATGCACATAAGAAGTTTTCTTAGGTTGGGCCTCCCTTGTGGCACAAGGGGTTAAGTCTCAGGCTATGAAGCTACTCAGTCACTGCAGCATGAGTGTAAGCCCTGGCCAGGGAGCTAACCCAAATGGTACAGCAGACCCCTGGAGTGGATCTGCCTGTTCTGCTCCCCACTCTGTCTCTGGTGAATCCTCTCACCGCCCCCCATACCTCTGGCCTATATACCCCAGTTATTGCATGCATAAATAAATAAATCTTTTTTTAAGTAGATCTTTAATTTATGTGGACAGATATTTGACTTTGTGAATCTGTAAGACAATTTATGTTCTTAACCTTAAAGTAATTGAGCTGACTTGCTGTAAACTTCTAAGCCAGAATACAGATAACTCTTTAAATCAATTGTTCTCAATTGTGCATCAGAATCACCAAGAGGACTTATTTCAAAAGTAGATCATTGAGCCCCCACCCCAGAGTTTCTGACTCTACAGTCCTGGAGTGGGACCTGTAAATATCTATTCCTAACATTCCCCAGTTGTTATTAATATTGCTGGTTCTAGAACAATACTGTGAGACCCACTGCCCTAAATTAAAGTTAGGTATTTAAATGTTGTTGTAAATAACTTGCCATTCAACCTTTATTTTGCTAATATGTGCTTTCTGCAAACAAAACATAGGTTAAATTGACCATCTGATCTGTGAGATTACATGTGATCCTAAATAATCTCTAATTTGAAAAACAAAAACTCTTAGAACAGTAACAACCTATTCATTTTTAAAATGTTATTACAGTCTAAAGAAAAGTTCCAGTTCCCATGGTAGTCATCATTCCGTTACATTTGGAAACATGTTTGTTCTAAAATAATCATTTCTGAGGCAATGACACTTATTCTTTTCACCCAAAGGAAACCGAAATAACAACACAGGAAGCACAGGGCAGCCTTAGGCCAACTCTTTTGAAAGCATTTTTAATTCACTGTTGCACAACTCAAACACAGGAATGGTTAGGAAGTCAGGAAGACACTTAAGTAATTTCAGCCACAAATACTTAAGAGAAGTATCGTGAAATCATGGATCATCTAGAAGCATCAGAGAGGTAAAGGACAGACTCCTTATGTGACAACTTGTCAGGAATGTTCAAAGTTTGGCATTATTGTCCACGGACCCTGAGATTGAAAATAAATTACTTCCAGAGCAGATGGGCACAGACACCTTCTTTGGGCAGTATTGTCAGATGCTAAAATACTGCTTAGATGTTCACCCTACATGATGCCAGAACTGACTGCTACTTTGCTATCTCATGAACACAATTCTGAGCTCTTCCCGCATATAAATAAATAGTACTGGTCTTCAAGGCCATGAGCCTTATTCCAGAAGCGTAGGCAAGGTTCCTACTGATGTTTTTCATCCTTGGGATACATGTTCTTCCACTTCTCATGTAGTTTCTTTATATAAAACATCTCAAAAAAATGTCCAACCACCACTCACATGTACTCTTGGCTCCACAGCTAAAGGTTATAGCCAAGTTCTAAACCTCTTGGACCTGTGCTCATCACTTCCCCATTAATCTGTGTAACACCTTACCACCCTCTACAAGTAATAATCCATAAATGAGACAGGTCTCAGTCATTTGCTCTATTCCCAATTCTAAGTATTAACTGAGACACAGAATGTAGACATAGAATACACCTTTCATCTACTTCTGGACTCCTCCTCATTTAATACATGAATACAAAAGTATGCAAAGTGAACTTAGCAATAACAATTCAGTGGAGATGTTACTGCTAACAAAAGTTGGAGAAGGGGTTCTTAGAGGGGACAGAATCAGGCTGGTTTATTGAGAAAGGTAATATGGAATGATATCTCTTGCCAATGCTCAGTCTCTCATGTTCTTCCAACTGAAATAACAGTTTCAACATCTCACAAAATCTGCAGGGTTGATGCCATAGTAAGTCCCAGCAGCTTAGGATGTTAACACTGCAAGAGATCTAGACTCTCTGGAGCAAATCCATCACTAAAAAATTGAGTCCCAGAGAAGGAAGTGAACAGTCTTAATTATGATCAAAGATTCCTTGGTTGCAATATTGTGGCCAGGACTTATATTTTCTGTTTACTGGTCTTTCCTTTCTTCCTTGGACGGACAGGACCATCATCCCCATGGATATTCAGGATGAGAGAGCTGTATAGACCCAGCTACTGGGCATTGACTTACTATGAATGATGCCAAAGGGTGTGTCTCTGTTCTGATCAAGCCTGTGATTTTTTTATATTCTCCTTCCTCCTCAGCAAATAAAATCACAAATATAATGCAAGTGTTGACATACATGTTCCTATAGATTAAGCTAGCCTCATTGTGGTTTCAGGTGTCCCATGAGAAAAAGTAAGTAAAACTGCACTTGTGGCCTCACAGATTAAAGACTGAGTTAAAATGAGGTTGCCCAGTCACAGAATAGGCCACACACGCTGATACAACTAGCCCGTCATTTCACCCTGGACTTAAGTCCAGCAGAGACCTAGGATTCAGATTCAGATTCCTTCACAAAACACCCAGGAGGTAGATAAATGCAATTAGCCCCATGGATGGATGTAGCACATAAACCCAGGGTTGGGCATGTGAGGTGCTGTAGACAAGGAGCAGAATACCTGAAGGGGTTGGGGTGAGAAGGGGGTGACCTCTGGTTCTAACCATAGCATTCTCCCAGGTAGCAACTGTCTACAGCAGTGAGTGTGCTCGTTGGAGGTAAAGAGGTGGTTACACACCTTGAGATTAGAACTGCTGATGAGGGCAAATCTGAAGGACTCTGATCATGAATTGGGGACCCTGGCATACATGACCCCAGAGGGGGGCCTGCCCTCCTCACCCAAAGGACTGAAGAATTAGGTAGCAAGAACTCCCCTTCGGAGAGATTGAGGTGGTGGTTGATGGTTAAAGGCACAGGCAGCTCTGGCTGTACTGCTCTCTTCCAGCTCCTTCAGCTTGAGGGAAGTGGATAGAGCTGGAGGTGCAGGTGAGACAAGGCTGCAAGGCCCAGCAGTTCCCACCATAGCCACTGAGAGTCAGGACCGCAGACCAAAATCTCAGGTAGAGTCAAAGTTTGCTGTTCATTCCTCTGGAATGAGAGACCTTAGCCCTGCCTTTCTCTTCAGGGAGAACGGCCCAAGAAGGAAAGCTGACGTCGCACTGAGGTAACAAAGAACAGCTACTTAGCTTTGTAGGCCACCCTTGGGTTAGGCAGGAAGAATCCCTGAAGGAGGTGTTCTGAGGACGAAGACTGAGGAGCTCGGACTATCTGGAATACACCACAAGTCTTAAGTTACACTCTCCCCACATGCACACAGGCACAGAGACCTACACTCCCACCTGCTGACCTTCTCCCAAACCACCCCACGCCGAACCCCAGTCCTGCCCCGTGGAGCGTCCCTGGAAGCATGGAGACAGAGGCGCCACAGGCCTGGGACAGTCTGACAGTGATGTGAAGGAGGCGGCTGGTCACTAAGTGCCCCGGTAGGTGATGTTGGTGAAGGTGGAGGTGGCCTCCTTATACAGTGGGTTGTTGGCCTGCAGAGGGAATAGGAGAGTGTTGCAGCGAAGCGTCAGTTCTGCCCTCCCTTCAAGGTCTATCTTTCATCTGAGAAGTCTGCTCTCTGGAATACATGTCATCGACCAACAGCTTACTACACGTTAGTCACACAGATGGAAACGGGGAGTGTGAAAGAGGAGAGCAAAGGTGGAACCCGCCACTATTTCTAAAAGGATCACCCCAAAAGTGACGCCTATCATAACGTAACTCCCGCTACAACCAGAAAATGTACTTCTCTGTGCTCAATTTCTGATCTACAAAATGGGAATAATAATACTGCCTACCCCACAGGGTCATTACAGGGATGAACAAGTTAATATATAACAAGCATTTAGATCAGTTCCTGATGCATCGTAAATCCTCAATAAATGTTGGCTATTATTGTATTTTTTGGTTGTATTTAATCCCTTGGACTGGATGTCCTTAATGGGAGAGTCTCAAGTTTGTCCTGTCTCCCTCAGTGGTAAAATAAGTTGCTTTTTTCATCTCTCACAGTGTTCAGAGCAGAGCACGGTGTTGTCTGTGCTCAGTCACCACTCACTATGTGGCCCAGGGTCACTGGGAGCTGCAAGAGAATTGGGTGATTTTCAGGAGGTAGAAGGACCGTGGGATAGTCCCAGCGCCTCGAAGTTTCCAGAAAGGTGCCAACCTGGGGAGCTGTGGTGCTGGCTAGCCTGACCACCTAAGACTTCTGTCTCCTCCACTTCAAAAAAACCACCCTGCCCAGCCCCCCTCTTACTGTGTCCCATTTTGCTCTGGCTCGCTCTTCCTCAAATTTAGCAAACTCCTTCCGGTCATGGATGGTGATGAGGAGCTTCCAGATGAGCAGAGCAGCAAGGCCGATGAGCAGAATGGCCCCCATGACGGAAAGCAGGACCACCAGGATGTCAGCACCCTTGGGACACTCTGTCAGGAGAGAACACAGACCAGGGTGGTTGTAAAAGGAGAAGGAATCTTTTGAACTGGCTACGGATAAGATTGTCTTGACAAAGCACTAGAAAGCTTTCTGAAAGGAACAGAATTTATAAACTGAACTAATTAAATTTTTCAAGGAGCAGTCAACTCTTTAGGGTAGTAGCCTGCTCTGAGTGTGGGAAACAGAATCTGTGGACACTTGCAGGTAGGAGCCAGCCCACTCAGAGTGGCCACCCAAGTGCTCATTAAAAATTTGGTCTGGGGCCTCTCTGGTGGTGCAGGGGTTAAAGTCTCAGCGCCACAAAGCTATCGCCAGCCACTGCAGCATGACTTTGATCCCAGGCAGCAGAGAGCTGACCCACATGGCAAGAAACAGACCTCTCCTGTCTCCCCTGCTGCTCCCCTCAGCAGTGTATTTCAGCCAGTCAGCCTGTTCTGCTCCCCACTCGGTCTCTGGTGAGTCCTCTTACTCCTTCCCCAGCCCCAATACCTCTGGCCTATACCTCAGTTCTTGAATGCATAACATTTTTTAAATCATTAAAAAAAAATTTGGCTTGGTGGGCAACATTAAATAGTTAAGAGATTCTCCCCCTGAAGTCTCAGATTATTCTACCTCTCTTTAAAAAAAAAAATGCAAAAGTTCTAGAGCAGAGCAGAGGCGACACTTAGCTTCAGCATGCTGTCTGCTTTGCCAGGTCCTTACCACTTACTTTCCCCCCAGATGGAGGCAAAGTGTGACTTGTCTCTGAGTCTGTGCTACCATGACCTCTGGAGCCAGACTGCCTGGCTCTGAATCCCTTGTGCTTTGATATGTGACCCTGAAAAGTTATTTAACATTTCTGGTGTCTGTTTCCTGCTCCTCCATCTTGAAGACTGGCAACATGAATAGTGTCACCTTCAAAAACTTGTTAGGAGGAATAATTCAGTTAAATACTCCGAACTCAGAACAGTGCATGGCACAAAGTCAGTGCTCAGTAAACTTCAGCTGCCATTACTGCTGGTGTTTGTTCTAACTGGCTGTTTCCCCCCAGGAAACAGCTACCAACCTAGCTCTTGTAGGCATTTAAGTCTGTCACCCTGACTCAGATATTTATATCCCTGCAAACTGGAAACCTAAGGACCTGGTGAGCAACTTAAAGCCCAGGAGGCCTGCCAACCAAGACAATATTTTGGGTTCCTTCCCAAAAAATTTAGTCATCTAAAATCCCAGCCTCATTGAGAACTGACTTCCTGTTCAACCCCAGTCAACACAGACAGGGGAGTGTCACCCTGTGGGAGCCAGGCTGGGTTCACGCTGGAGAGCGCTGCTTCCCGCCAACCGCAGGTGTGTCTGATGGTGATCTGGCTCCAGACTGCTCAGGTGTTATGTAATTAGGTGTTTGTAATTGAGTGCTGATACGTCTGCAGAGGAACTCACTCCCACTCTCCACACTGTCTCCAGCCTTCTCTAAACACACCCTGTGCTCACCACATACCACTCAAAAACAACCATCACCACTAACCCTTCTGGCTATTTCCCAAGCCACCAAATTACAACCTGTCTGTCATTAAAGGAAGCAGAGGCTCTGAGCTTCCAGTGTCTGAGTGCCCTGGAGGCAAGGGACCCAGTTCTTCTGGGAATAGCAATTGGGAATTCTCTGGAAGACTGAGGTAGGGCTGACCCGCAAGCCTCAAAGAGAATTTTGTTTTGCGAGGGTGGGCAGGACAGGTAGAATGCTAGGAGGTCTTGGGGAGAAAGAGTGGAAATCAGTTATCTTCACTGGAAAGGGTGGATACTTGGGTTTCTGGAAGCAGAAAACAAATCAGGTGGTCTCTGTGGCCTCCCAGCCACAGTGGGAAGCCTCCAAGAAGGGCAGCCCAAGGTCAGAGAAGATTTGGCATCTTTGACAAACAATACAGGAAGCCCAGTTAAAGCGAATTTCAGATAAGCCCTGAGTAATTTGTTAGCATAGGTATGTACCAAATATTACACAGGTATTCTATCAGGGCCTCATGAGAGAGCCCCCCCCTGTGGGCTGAGCAGCACTTGGCCAGCAGGAAATCCCTGAAGTCCCCCCCTGACTGCCCAGAGGTGCCTCAGACCTTCCAAGAGAACGTACCCAGAGGCATGAGTTGGGGAAGAGACTAAAGAATGAGAAGAGTCTCCTCCTATATTCTGAGACCCTCAGTCAGGCCTGGAAATGGTTCAGAGTGAGGGTGTGAGGAGGGGGCAGGACTTGGAATTCTAGAGCAACGACATAGGAAATGAGGGAAGGGGTACCATCTCCTAAGGTGGAAAAGGATTCTCCCAGCAGTCAGCCAGAAAAACTCCCCCTGGGGGTCACTTATACCCTTCCAGGGTATCATCATCTCTGTTCCCCATAACTCCAGTCACCAAACCCCAAGCCCAATGATTTTCATAAGTGAACAAGATGTCCAGCAAGGATCATGACAACCGACAGGTGAAGAGATGTTAGACCAGAAAGCAAGAACAGCCACTCTTCTGACATGAGGAGAGGAAAAGGTACAGGTGGGGGTAGAATGGGAAAATCCATGTTCATACCTGTGGATGAGGAACTGTGAGACTTCGCGACTAAATGAACCCCCTCTCCCCGTAGATGCGTCCCCTGCTCCACACCCGCTTTTCCTGGAACATCTCAATCAAACTACGAGAGGCCCTTTCTTCACTGTCCTTCTCCCTTGAAGGGGTGAGCACTCTAGGAAAGGCAGGTGAACAGGGTCACAGATGGGGGTCCCTTGCTCTCCACCACCCACGGGGACAGCAACACCCTGGGGACATGGATGTAGCAGCCCTCCCCCCACCTCCATCTCCTTCCTTCTCCAAGCAGCCAAAATGCTTCCCACAGATACAAGCTGTTTCCAAGCCTGCCTGATTCCCAGGAACCATAGGTCCTATGAATTCATTCAAGCACCACTTAAGAACTACCGTCTGCATAGGTGGGTGAGACAGGTCTGAGGGTATCACAATAGATGAGACCGACACAGTCCCTGTGTTATGGCCTGCAGAGGGAAACCGGTGACTGAAGAAGCAATTTAAGGGCATGATAAAGGCCCATCAAAGCTGCTGTGAGAATCAAGCAGGAACACTAGGCCTGCTCAGGGTCTGGGAAGGGCCTGCCGAGGATGAGATGCATCTAAAGCAGAGACACTCAGGGTCTGTGTTGTGTCACAACCGCCCGGGGCACTAACAGAGAGCTCAGGGAAAAGGCAGCACAGAGCTCGGGATTTTTTTAACAAGAGAACATAACAAAAGTTAGACTGCTCAAAAGCAGGGGGATGACCCATGAGCCAAAGGAGCGTGTCACCTATTTTTGAAAACACAGCCACACCCTTCACTTGCACTAGCTTATGGCAGCTTCCATGGCAGAGGTGAGTAGCCCAGGCCCAAGGCCAAGAACCACAGGGCCCTCAAACTTCAGATTGCCAATACCAGACCCTTCACAGAAAAATCTCGCACGTCCCACCCCATAACCCTCTCCCTCTGCAAGGTCATCCTTGATTGGCATGCCTCTGTCCTCCAAGCCTGGGAGTGCCGCATCTGTGATATTACTGTGATATTCCCGGCACCTGGTACAGTGCCTGGTTTACAAAAAGTATAGTCAAAAAATATGTTCTCATGATTCATAGCTCAGTCTGCTGTTTAAGAAAAAGGAAGGCAGGGTCCTCCCTGGTGGTGCAGCGGGTTAAAGCACAGCACTAAGAAGCTTAAGCCACTTCCGGATGAGTTCGATCCCCGCCTGCCCCGGAGGAGATCCACATGGCGAGGCAGACCTCTCCTGGCCCGCCCCCTGCTCAGCAGTGCACTTCGTCAATCTGCCTGCTCCTGTCCCCACTCTGTCTCTGGTGAATCCTCTCACCCTCCGCGTCTCCAGCCTATACCCCAGTTCTGTATGAATAAATAAATCTTTATTAAAA